TATTCCAGGACACTTTAAGACAAAGAAAGAAAATGCTATCGGAGCTGGACTTTGAATCAGGGAGACCTAAGTTTGAAAACTACCTCTGGACACTTACGAGCTATATGATCTTGGGAAAGTCACTTAACCTCAGTGTGCCTCAGTTTCCTCAATTGTAAAATAGGGAAAGTAACAGTACCTACCTTCCTGGGTTGTAAGGATCAAATGAGATCATATTTGTAAAACACTTAGCCTGGCATATAGTAGGTGCTATATAAATGCTTATTCCCTCCCCTTCCCTTCTCTACTTTCCTACTTACTACCTGTATGACCTGGGGAAAAAACACTCTATCTCTCTGGACCTCAGTTTCCCCTTTTGTAAAATGAGGAGGTTGAGGTTCCCTTTACCTCTAGATCAATTATTCTCTGAGCAGTGCATAGAGTGTTGGGCCTGGAGTCAGGAAGACTCATCTTCCTGAGTTCAAATCCGGCCTCATTTACTTACTAGCTGTGTGACCCTGGGCAAGTCACTTCACCCTATTAGCCTCAGTTTCCTCATCTGTAAAGTGAGCCATAGAAGGAAAGGGCAAAATACTCCAGTATCTTTACCAAGAAAACCCCTAAATGGTGTCACGAAGAGTTGGACGTGACTGAAAAACAAATGAACAACAAAAATGAACATACTGTATTTACTCATTTCCCACTACTTTTTATTTGCTATGAATATATTGTTTTCCCTCAGTAGAACATCAGCCCCCTTGAGGGTAGGGAGTTTTTTCCTTTTTGAATCCCTAGGGTCTTGCTTGATTCCTGGCACAGAATAGATGCTTAATCAATGTGGGTTAAATTGAAATGCCTTGAGCAGTCACTGGGGAGTTCAGATTAGAGAGTGTTTTTCCAATTTTGTAGATAAGAAAACTGAGGTTCATCAAGTCTAATGACTTGCCCAAGGTCCCACAGCTACAGCCCAGCCTTTCTGAAAGGTGCCGAGGCCAGTGAACCCTGTTTCATTCTCTTCCTGCTGTTACCCAGGAGTCACTGGCACAGATTTCCTCATGGCAGGTAATGAACCTGAAAAGCACACACTTGTTTCCAACCATCCATCAAATCCCACTTCTGGAATCAGCCCCATCTGGGGGAGATGCACATGTTGTGACACAATCCAATAAAAAATAAATGAAGGAAATGGCTTTATTTCTGACTTCATCCATCTCTTGTTTGAACAGCAAATACACTAGTTGAAGTTTATACACAGCCTGTCAGAAAACTCATTCTCCTGTGAAATATGCTTATGGTTAGCTTTGATGTGAAGCATTCCTGCTTGTTTTCAACAGGTTTGGAGAGGAGAGAGGAAAGAGAGAGGAGAGAGGGAGAAAGAGAGAGAGAGAGACGGACAGACAGACAGACAGATAGACAGAGAGACAGAGACGGACAGACAGACAGACAGATAGACAGAGAGACAGAGACAGAGACAGAGACAGTAAGGGAGAGAGGAAAAGAAAGGAAGGAAGGAGACAGAGAGACAGTGAAAGGGGGTTGGGAAGGGAAAGCATTCTCCAGGACTGTTTCACAGAATCCCAGAACCTCAGCCAAGGAAAAGATCCCAAAGGCAATCTAGTCCAATTGGTAACTGACCAAAAATTATCCTCTCCTCTCCACATCCCTAGCCTTTGCTTGAAGCCCTCTACGGAAGGAGGGGACCTCCTCTCATCTCTCCAGGAAGCCTATTTCACTTCCAGATAGTTCTAATCACTAGGAATTATTGCCCAACATGGACCCTACATTTTTCTCCATGCAACTTTCACCCCTGCTGCCAATTCTGCCCTCTGAGGCTAAGCAAAGCAAGGGAAATTCTTAAAATTCCTGTCAAATATCTTCTTTTGTGGAGAGAGGGCCCCCAATATCATATTGGGGATGCTATTTTTAGTTAACAAAGCCTAGGCCCTAAGGCTATTTCAATCCAGAAAAGGGCCCTGGAGGTTCAGTTTCAATTTGGGGTCATATGGGTCTAGCCTCCAATAGGACAACTGCAAACTCACAGCCAGTAAGGTGCCCAATAACAGAATAGGACCATCCCTTCATGAATATTTATTGAACTGAATAGCCTTAATATCAGGGAAGAGTCAGATGGATTCAATAGAATCTCTTTCTAAACCCCCCAACAGCTCCATGAGTTTTATCTGTTTTCATTTCTTACTACCATCTTCTTTCTCTCTCTCGTCTCCTCTCCCCCTCTCCCCCTCCCTTTCCTTCTCTTCCTCCTCCTCTTCATTCTTCTTCTCTCTCCCTCTCCTCTCCCTCTCCTTTTCAACAAACATTTATTCAGTGCTTCCAGTATATGCCATGGAATGTGGATACAAAGAAAAGTATAAGAACAGTGCCTGCCCTTGAGAAACTCACAGTCTAACTGGGGAGACAACAAGCAAACGATGATATACCAACAAAATTAAAAACAGGATAAATTGGAGATAATAATCAGAGGGAATGTACCAACGTTAAGGGAAAATGCGGAAAGGCTTCTTATAGAGTGTGGAAGGTCATGTGGGACTTGGGAGGAAGCCAGGACACACACATGAGGAGGGAGAACATTCCAGGGAAAATGCCTAGAGCCTACAGATGGAGTGTCTTGTGTGAGGAACAGAAAGGAAGACCATGCCGTGGCATCACATCACAACCTGATGCCTTCCCATCTTTCTGGTCTTTTCAAATGTATTCTCAGCTCTACCCCGAGCTAGCTGTACCACCTGGAAGAAGTGACTCAGCATCTTTGAACCTCGCTAACCTCATCTGTAAACGGAGAGGGCTGCCCCTTCCAACCCTCAAGCCAGGACTTTGGTTAGGTCACTTAGTTACTAGATAGCCTACGTGGCAGACTAAAGAAAGTATTGAACTTTGAATCAGGAAGACTCAAATTCAAATCCTGTCTCAGACACTAGCAGCGATGTCCCTGGCAAGTCCCTCAGCTCCTCTGTGCCTCAGTATCCTCATCTGTAAAATGAAAAGGTTGGGCTTGAGGGCCTCTAAAGTCCCATCCACGAGTCTGTGATTCTGTGATCCAGGGTTAGTGGAACTACAGCACACTGCCTTCCCTCCTACCCCATCAATGCTTCACCGATACCGCGTCTGACCCGTAACTTTAACCAGGTAAAGGTTCCCCAGGGCTGGGCTTTGATTCTGATGAGCATTTTGTTGAGAGAAGCAAGTCGAGTTCCTCAAAGTCCCAGTTCCCGGGACCTTCACTTAAAGACAGCAGAAGCACTTGAAGGCCCACCTGCCTGCAAACTCCTTCCTCGTAGTATTCAGAGCACAGCATTATTGTGATAAATTCAGTCTTCTTTTCTTCCCTTAAAAGGATTAAGCACGGGTTCCCCGCAAAAGCACATGAGGCCTAGATATAATGCCTATATTGCTCCTGGGCGGAGTACCATTTGCAAATTCATGACAGATTTGTGATTTTGTGAGCAAAGAGAACTTTCGGTATGGAAACTCAGCTCCTCCTCCCAGCCCCCAATATGGATCTCTGCCGATCTGTCTATGATAGATTCTTTTAAAAGATAAATTCTGAAGACTTGCCTGAGGTACATAAAAGTTAAATGACTTGCCCAGGGTCACACAATCAGCATGTGTCAGAGGAAGGATTGTAACAAAGATATTCCTGACTCTGTGCCCATCACTCTATTCACCACACAAGCCTGTAATCATTACATTTTTAAATTGGTTACCTGGGCAAGACACTTAACATTCCAGTGTTCTAGGGAACTCTGAGACCGTAAGTTTCAGAACAGTTACTGGTTTTCACTTGTGGAAAGAGTCTCCACACTGGGAGTTCCCTTTGCCAGTGAAATCAGGAATGATTCTTCAACCATTTATATATATTTACACACACACACACACACACACACACACACACACTTATATAATTGTTCTCTCAGGAAACTGAGATTCTGATGGAGAAGTGACTTGAGAAAGGTCACATAGAAAATATCCAAGGTGAGACCTAAAGCCAAGTTTTCCTGTTTCCAAGATCAGCTCTTTATCCAGTGTTCCATGTTGCCTCTCATATATACTCAGATTAATATGTATTTATGGGGCACACATTATATTCTGAGGGTACATGAACCTTATGAGAGAGAACATTTTATTATGGTTTGGATTACAATTTGCATTAATGAGGAGAGTAGTCGCATGTTTGTCATTGTGGGTCCATTGAAATGATACAAAGTATAACCGTCTATGTGTACAAGAATGAAGGATGGAGGTAGAGGATAAGGAATAAAGGAGTAGAAGGTAGGGGGTGAGGAACAGGGACCAGACGTGATTTCACTGATATAAGGAATGACCAAATAAGGAAACTCCCTCCATCAATATAGTTTGGGATTTCATCTGAAACTTACACTTTTAGAGAGCTCCCAAGAGTACTGAAAGGTTGTGACTTGCTCAGGATCATATAGTCAGTATATTATCAGAGGCAAGATTTGAACCACGATCTTCCTGGTGCTTATGCCTCTCATACATGTGTATTTATATGTGTGTATGTGTGTGTGTGACAAATTAACAAATCTACCCCCATCCATAGCCTCATTCTCCTATGAGAGCTACCCTTTTCTTCGTTTCAGTTTCTTCCCTTCCAGTCACCAATGCATGCTGCCACAATCTTGACCTACAATTTGGAAAGAGGAATGCGGCAAATAGACAGAAGGGAAAGAAGACTCTTACAGGAAGACTCAGCATTTTAGCAAAACCCATTAACAAATCAGAAATGATAGCCCACTCAGAGAGGGATTCAGCCAGGCTACAGCCTTTTTGGGGGCAGAGGACTGAAGCCAGCCTCCCTCCCTTACATCCAACAGCCCAAATGATGGCATACTTAAGCCATTGCTAAAGACTCCACAACAGACCCAGTTGGAATGCTCCCTCCCCCCAGCCTTCGTCGGAAGTTTGTCTGTTCCTAGATAGCCTGTCACCTCCCAATCTGGCAAAGCCCATTAAGGCAGCAAGAGAAGGGACGCGGATTTGCCCACCTTTCTTTCTGGAGTCTCTCTTGGTGCTGGATTTAACAGCCACTTGCAGGTCTGTCTCCGTTGACATCCTATTATATCCTTAGGCCTCTTCACACAGATCCAGTGTCTTGGGCAGGCTCATTGAGAATTCCTCTCCCAGAGAACGGCTTCTCCCTTCAGATACTATGCCCACCAACAGTACATCTCACTCACTCCACTCGAGTGCTGAAACACAAAACAAACATCACGATCTTAATGGTCAGGTAGTTAAAGCAAATCGGGGGAAGAGAAAACAAGTCATTGGCAAAGGAAGCCTCATTCTCTCCCACTATCCTTCTTAAGGTAATAGGTGGGGGTCATACAAGGCAAGAGAGGCAAGTATCGTTCAGTAAATTCAGCATGGGAAAGGCCAGACTGAGATCAAAGTCCTAAGTATGAGGCTGGGCAAGATGGTGCTGGGAGCCTGATGTTTCTTTTCCAATTTGCTAATTCTAGCCTCTTTTGACTACCTGATGACAACACCAAATTATATGCCAGGAATGACTCTGGAACCAAATCATGGAGGACTCTTCCAAGGGGAAGGCATCCATCAGAAAAGCTAGATCAGTGTCCTGGTAGCCAAGAGGGGCTGCTGAGAAGTGTCCTGTGGCGATTCCTTCACTGGAGATCAGAGGGGCTATGGAGCTGACATATAATTTGGTTTGAAGGTTGGGTGACAAATGTGAACTATATAAAACTTTCCAGCAAGCCAATTTGTGGTGGTCAGTTTTGGAGGGAATGTTGTGGGAATCTAGCTAGATGGGAAGGCAGGAATATGAAGTAGAGATCAAGAGAAGGGGGGATGGAGAGAGGAAGAGGGAGGAAGGGAGGAGGGAGGAAATAAGAATAAGGGAGGGAAGACAAAGGAACAGAGAAAAGGAAAGGAAAGGAAAGAGAGACAGAGAAAGGGAAAGGAGAAGGAATAATCAAGACAGGAGAGTAAAGATTAGAGGGCAAGAGGAGAGGAGGGAAGGAGAGACACAAAGACAGAAGGGGGGATGGGGAGAGAGAAGGTGAGGGAAAGAAGAAAGGAAGGGAAAGAAAGAAAGAGAAATAAAGAAGGAAAGAAAATGAGAGAGAGAGAGAGAGAGAGAGAGAGAGCAGGAGAGGAATAAATACATACAAATATAGACTAGAATTTATTGGTTGAGTGTTGCTGTCAGGAAGCCTAACCATATCTGCCCATGGAGGAAGTGAAAAAGACCACTATTAGTTCTAGGAGCTCAGGGGTAGGATGATAACAATAATTTATACTTAGTAGCAGTTTAAAGTCTGCCAAGCACTTCCCCCATGGAAGCTCTCAGAAGTAGTTAGTAAAAGTTGTATGCCCATTTCACAGATGAAGTCATCAAGGTTCAGAGAAGTGACCTGCCCACAGTCCCATAGCCTGGAAGCCTGAATTCAAAACCAAGCCTCCTGGTTCCAATTCCAGTGTTTACACACCTAAGCCACGCTGCCTCTGAACTGCCCACATGGGTCGAAAGCCAGAACTGTAACCTCACGTCCTCTCTGGCCATCTGTAATTCCTATAACCATAACAGCTCCTGATTCTATATTGCTCGAAAGGAGCAAATCCCACTCATGAAGCACGTTCTTCATGATTACTCTGAGGGAAGTGCTATAGATAAAGAAACTGAGACTGAGAGAAAGTAAATGACTCCTCTATGGTGACACTAAGAGGAAGCATTTGGAGCCAGAATCCAAACCAATTACAGAATCACAGGTCACAGACCTAGAGTCTGAAGGGCCTTTCGAGTCCATCTGGTTGAATATATCTTTTTAGAGACAAGGAAACAGAGGTCTGAGGTCATTATGTAAGTACCCAGCATCACAGGATTTGAACCCAACTCCAACCACTCCAACACCAGTGTTCTTTGCCCCACCGCAGCCTGTCTCTCTCTCTCCACCCCAATTCTAGTCTTTCTACCATGTCAGGACCCTCAGTCTGCCAGGTCCCAGAGATGATGGGCAATCACAGCAAGGCAAAGGGGATAGGTAAGGAGAAGAAGCAAGGGGGCCAGGGAACACTTGAACAACATGAAGGCTGATGTTTATGCTAATGAAAGCTCAAAGGGACCTACATTTAAAGGTAAACTGATTTAACAGTGATAACTATCATGACTATGATTATGCTTTTGTAGACCTGAAAATCTGGCAACAAGTAAGAAGAAAGAGAAAGAATGAAAAGAAGGAAGCATCCCCCAGCCTCTCTTAATTCTATTGCCTTCCTTCCCTTAATTATCTCCTATTTATTCTGTATATAGCTTGTTGTTATATATGTGTTATCTTCCCCATTAGATTGAAAGCTCTTGAGGGCAGGGGCTGTCTTTTGCCTCTTTTTATATTCTCAGAGATTAGCACAGTGCCTTGTACAAATTAGGGGATAAATAAACCTATAATTGATTGATGATTAAAATCAGAATAATACTAGTGCCTACCTCCCAGGGTTGTAGTGAAGATCTAATGAGATAATATTTGTTAAGAGTTTAGTATGGTACTTGGGATATATTAAGCACTTAATATAACCAACCTCCCTCCACTTCCTTCCTTCCTTCCTTTTTTCCTTCTTCCTTTCCTTCTTCCCTCCCCTCCCTCCCTCCCTCCCTCCCTCCCTCCCTTCCTTCCTTCCCTTATTTCCTTCTTTCCTCACTTTGCTGTCATTGATGAATTTAAGTCACCTCTCTGAAATACACACCTCCCATTCTACATAAAAGTATTTCTATTTAAGAGCCTCAAAAATGACTTATGAATTTCAAGAATAAGAAGATAACCTACATATACATACATGTATGTACATATGTATGTATGTACAGTGAAGTCTCCTTGGTCCCTAATAAAGAAGGAAACAAGCCATGAGAGCTTAGCAAGATAATGCCATTGCCTAGACCACAGTCCTGTCTTGATGTCTTAAGAAGTCAAGAAGCCTGGGCCAAGTCTGAGATGGAACCTCAAATTATTTCAGAAATACATTTATCTGTAATTAGGCAGAATCAAGTCCACCACAACTTGGAACAATGTGACAATTAAAATCACTTTTTCTCTCCCCATCCCTTGCAGGAGAAGCTGTGAAATTCTATCAGAGAAATTCAGACTCTTCCCGAATTTTGAAAAGCTTCAATAATGTTTCTTGGAGCCATGCAATCTCTGGTAATTTAATATTCCTGAAGTGTGTCAGGTTTTTTATAATGAGCTGTTCACATCGAGATGTACACTACAGACACTCTGGCTGTCTGGGGTGAGAGCTGAGCAATGCAGAAACCTTGGCTTGCAGAGGACAGAATTCAACCCCCAACAATGAATAAGCCAGGAAGAAAAAGGAGCACAAAGATCATGGGGTCTGGAACAGAAGGAGAACACACAAACACACACACACACACACACACATACATACACACACTCATTCACCTACAGTAATACATAGGCACACAAATATATAATGTATATAATATCATACATATAAAATATGTAATATCATAAAATGTTGTGGCCAAAAGGAACCTCAGAAATCCTTTAGTGGGAAGGTTCTTAACCTCGAGGTCCTAAACTTGTTTTTAGTTTTGATAACTGTATTTCCATATATAATTTTTTCCCGAATTAGATATATTTTATTTGATGCATTTAAAGACACAATTCTGAGAAGCAGTTCCTGGGCTTCCTCAGTCTGGCAAATGAGTCTTTCCCCTCCAGATCCAGAGTTCCTTTCACTTGGTCATTTATTTTCTTGCTTTCTTTCCCCTCTTCCTCTTCCCTCTTTCTTTTCTCTCCTCTCTCCCCTTCTCCTCTCTGTCTGGCTCTGTCTCTCTGTTTCTATCTCCCTCTGTCTGTGTTTCTGTCTTTGTTTCTCTGTTTCTGTCTGTTTTTCTCTCTGTCTCTCCTCTTTCTGTTTATTTCTGCCTTTGTCTCTGTTTTTATCTCTCTTTTTCTTTTTCTCTGTTTCTGTCTTTCTCCATTTTTCTATCTCTATGTCTCTGCTTCTCTGTATCTCTCTTTCTCGGTCTCTGTCTGTCTCTCTGCCTATTTCTGTGTTTTTGCCTCTATCTTTATTTCTGTTTTTCTCTCTGTCTCTCTGTTCTGTCTCTGATTCTTTCTCGACATTTCTTTCTCCATTTCTCTGTGTCTCGGTCTCTCTGCTTGTCCGTCTCTGAATGTGATTTGTCTGTTTTTCTCTATATCCATTTGTTCTCTCTCTGTCTCTCTCTCTCTCTCTCTCTCTCTCTCTCTCTCTCACACACACACACACACACACACACACACACACACATATACATACACACACTCTTGCAGATAGTAAGATGAGAAAGATAGCTAGCATACCAGATGACAGTATTGGGATCAAAGATGACCTCAACAGATTGAAATGTTGAGCTGAAGCTAATGATATAGAATTAAACAGGAATAAATGTCAAGTCCCACACTTGGGCTCAAATATTCAAGTTCATGAGTATAAAATGGAAGGAATGTGATTTTTAAAAAAGGAAGAGAAAGAAAAGAAATTCTCATGACAAAAGAGCTGTGGGTTCCAGTGGCCTGCAATGGTGTAACAAGGCACCCAAAGAGCTACGGTCACCTTGGGTCAAAGCAACCCAAGTCTAGTATCTGGGACAATGGAAGTTTACGTGTCATTGGCCTCTGTCAGACCTCCTTTGTAGTGTTATATCCAACTTTGGATGACACATTTTAGGAAGTCCACTGACAAGTTGGGACAATCATGTTGAGGAAGAGCCTGGGCGTCATGTCTTGGGAAAGTTATTTCTCTCAAAGCCTCTCCTCAAAGGCTTTGTCCAAAGATCAAATGAAGTTGTACTGAAAGTATTTTGCACATTCCCCTGAGCAGATATAGTGAAAAATCTTAAGAAAGTAGAGAATAGCAAAGATGGAGCCTAAATGCACAAGGAGACAATAAGAAACATCATAGCACAATCAAAAGGCAGGAAAGCTGAAGAAATGCTTGAGGAATCTACAAACCAAAGAACTGACCTTGAAGATAGTGCCAGAAACACTACTGGAAAACCATTGGCCTCTTAGAAACAAATAAACATGATGGAACCAAGAGCCAAAATGTCATGTCAGGATAACATTCATAGGCAATAGGGTTGTCGTCATTCTTATAGTTTCCAGCAACAGCTTCCTTAAATACTACAGCTAAATACTAATCCTCCATACATTGGAAATGATGGGACAGTTAC